GGACCAGATGGGATAGGTATATCGTCTTTCATGGTTCATTTGGTGATTTCACCAGGAACTTGTGGAATTTGCACGTCAAGTATTCAACACTAGCTATTAATGTGGTTTCTTTGCGGATTGCAGCAGCAAGAATTGTGGGGCTTGACCAGCAAGAAGTGGTGGTTCAAATGTTATTTTTAACCAAAAGAGCAAGATTAAAACCAGGGGTCTCCCAACCAGCAAAATCATGGTTCATGGGTTTTACCAAATTTTGCACCCTTATATAAATCCTGAATTCCGCAGAGACATGCAGGACATGAAGTTTGAAAGTGTTTATTAAGTTGTTGCATGATCAAGACATGATGGGGAAAAATGATGGAAGGAACATTTTGGACTTAGACTGACTAACATACTAGTATTGTTTGGGTTGTGAGAAGAAAAATGCGAATTTCAGTTTCCAACTCGGATTTCAAGCGTATGTCGCAGATGAGCCAGTGGTCATGGGAAACCACTAAGGTTGGTACCCTGGCAGGCGGCCCACGTGCGGCGCCCAGCCCGTGGCCACCCCTGAAAAATCTGAGATAGCCCGAAATTAAGGATGTCCAAACCCATTTTTTGTAGATTTTTATGGGGATACCCAGGGATGAATGAACCTGTGCTCATGTACATAGGTCAATTTTTGTTTTTTTTGCCCATCCCCACATTGGCAGCGGCAACATCAACGGCCATGAGTCGCAGGATTCCAATTTCCAACGCAAAATCTGGCGAAAAGATGAAGCCGCCATAGATTTATGCGATGGATTATGATGAGTCAGGAATCATCCTCCATTTCAGGTTGGTGCATTTACTCTAATTTGACCAAACCCAATGGCCTTGGACAGCTGTCAAAACTGCCCATGTTTGAGTTAGGACATATGTTTGAGTCATTCCCTGCACGCATATCCGACATATTCGGATACAGGGGCATGGGTAGAAATTGCCGGTTTCTTTTCAATTTAGACTTTCCATCCTTTTATTGTTGGGTGGGTTCGATAATTTTGACCCATATGCAGAAATCAGATGAAGCCTCCTGTATCATGTATCACCTCTAGGCTCAGTGCAGCTCACTGTGGCAGAGCCAGATCCGGAAAAGGAAGGGGAGGCAGGGCCCAGTCTGGGGCAGATATGTGGGGCAGATATGGTGTGCAGGTAGGGATTTCACCACTTGAAATGGTACTTTTTTATAAGTTTGGTAAACTCCCCAAACTGGTTCAGTAATGGCTGGCCCTTACATTTCGGTGATGTTTATGGAGGAAAATGTCCCAGAAGTCCACCTGGAAGAACATGGTGGTTGTTCCAGGGACCCGCATTTTCTGATGCATACCATGTGTAATATCAGAGAACACCATTTTTCATACCATTTTTCCAGAGAACCTGGTAAATATTATTGTTATTCCCCAACAACGTAAGCTTGGGGTCTTCAGCCATAGTAAAGGTCCCGGAGCGGTTCGGAGCAGCCAAATCCGCACCGCGCAAGGTTGGGAACCAGGTTCCCAGGAACAGTTTCCCAAGCTAGGTTCCCAGGAACAGGTTCCCAAGCAAGGTTCCCAAGAGATTCCCCCAAGCAAGGTTCCCAGGAAGAGGTTGCCAGGAACAGGTTCCCAAGCAAGGTTCCCAAGCAAGGTTCCCAGGAAGAGGTTCCCAGCAAGGTTCCCTAGCAAGGTTCCCAGGCAAGGTTACCAGGAACAGATTCCCAAGCAAGGGTTCACAGCAAGAGGTTCCCCAGCAAGGTTCCCAGGAAGAGGTTCCCAGGAAGAGGTTCCCAAGCAAGGCTCCCAAGAGGTTCCAAGCAAGGTTCCCAGCAAGAGGTTCCCAAGCAAGGTTCCCAAGAGGTTCTCAAGCAAGGTTCCCAGGAAGAGGTTCGCAAGCAATGGTTCCCAGTTGTTCCTGCAAGCGGTTCATAAGAACTTAACCTTGCTTGGGAACCTCTTCCTGGATACCTGCTTGGGCGCCTCTTCCTGCTGGGAACTTGCTTGGGAACGTTTTTCTCCAACAGCGCAAGCTTGGGGTCTTCAGCCACCCCAGGAACAAGATGTCCAATCAAATTTTCCAGGAACAGGTTCGCAAGCAAGGTTCCCAGGAACGATTCCCAAGCCAGGTTCCCAAGAACGGGTTCCCAGGCAAGGTTCCTCAGCAAGTTCCAGAAACAGTTGCCAAGCGAGGTTCCCAAAAGCAGCTTCCCAAGCAAGGTTCCCAAGAACAGGTTTCCAAGAAAAGGTTGCAAAAAAGGTTTCCAAGAATAGGTTCGCAAGCAAGGGGTTTCCAGGCAAGGTTCCTGCGAACAGGTTTCCAAGCAAGGTTCGCAAGACCAGGTTCCCAAGCAAGGTTCGCAAGAACAAGTTCACAAGCAAGGGCCAAGAACAATGCCTCAAGTTCCCAAGCAAGGGTTCCAAGAACAGGTTTCCTTGCAGGGTAGCAAGGTTGCCAAGCAAGGTTTCCACGAACAGGTCCCCAAGCAAGGTTCCCAAGGACAGGTTTGCAAGCAAGCTTCGCAAGAACAGGTTCCCAAGCAAGGGTTCGAAGAACAGGGTCCCAAGAACAGATTCGGGTTCCAAGAACAAATTCTCTAGGAAGGTTCATGAAGGTTCCGAGCAATAGGTTGCCAGCACGGTTCCCACGAACACGTTCCCAAGCATGGTTTCAGGTTGCTCATGTTCCCAGGAACAGCTTTCCAAGAACAACTTGCAAAGCAAAATTTCAAAGAACATCTGCAAGCAAGGTTGGAAGCAAGAACAGAATCCCAAGCAAGGTTCCGAAGGACAGGTTCCTAAACAAGGTTCCCAAGCAAAGTTACAAAAAACAGGTTCCCGAGCAAGGTCCCCATGAAGAGGTTTGAAGTTTCCAAGAACAGGTTCCCAAAAGAAAGTTCCCAAGAACAGGTTACCAGGCAATGCTCCCAAGAACAGGTTCCCAAGCAAGGTTCCGATAAACAAGTGTCAAGCAACGTGTCCAAGAACAATTGCCCAGGCAAGGTTCCAAGAACATTGAACAACAGAATACTGCAAAGTTTGAAGAATTGTTTTAATAACGGAACGGAGATTGAAGAACTAGTTTTGCTTCAAACAATGATACGGCACTCGCACATGGATAACAACACTAGACGACAGCGTGGCATGAAAGAAAGCAGGGGGGAGGAGACGAGAAGATAATACACAAGAAAAATCAAGAAAAATGATGATGGTGATTCGTGATGATGATGACGACAATGATGATGGCAATGACGATGACGAGGATGAATGGCGATGGAGATGATGATGATGATGATGATGAATGAGTCAAATGTCATATATCCACGGTTTCATGCCTTTTTTGTCCCCGCAGAGGGTTTGCTCCAGGGCTGGCACCTGAGCAACAGTCAGAATCAAAAGACATGTTGTTTTTACACTGCGAACAAATTACACAGAAGATCTTACACACAGAAGCCTTTACACAGAGAGGGATTTACACAGAGCAGCTTTTACACAGACGCTTTTGCACACAGACGCTTTTGCACACAGACGCTTTTACACACAGAAGCTTTTACACAGAAAAGCCTTTACACAGAAAAGCTTTTTCTAAAGAAGCCTTACCACATGAAGCCTTTACACAGAGCAGCTTTACACACAGACGCTTTTTCACAAAGAAGTTTTTATACACAGGGAACTTTAACGCGCAGATGCCCAAGCTTTTACACACAGGAGCTTTTGCACACACACGCCTTACAAAACGAAGCTTTTGGACACAGAAACTTTTACAGCCTTTTCACAAGAAAGCTTTTACACAGAAGCTTTTGCACAGAGATGCCTTTACAAACAGAAGCTTTTACACACAGAAGCTCAGAGAAGCCTTTAAACAGAGCAGCTTTTACACACACACAAGCTTTTACACAGAGAAGATTTTGCACAGAGAAGCTTTTTCACAGACAAGCGTTTGCGGGAAGGAACTTTGCGCACAAACGTTTTTTACATACAGCAGCTTTCACACACAGAGAAGCCTTTGTGCGGACCAGCTTTTACACTCAGGCTTGTTTTCACAGAGCAGCATTTACGCGGAGCAGCTTTTACACACCGAAGCTTTGACGCAGAGATGCCTTTACACAGAGAAGATTGTACACACAGAAGCTTTTACACACAGACGCCTCTGCACACACACACACAGATGCCTGTACACAGAGCAGCTTTGACACACACAGACGCTTTTACACAGAGAAGCCGTTACACAGAGCAACTTTTACACAGTGCGGCTTTTACACACAGACGCTTTTTCACACAGAAGCTTTTCTACACAAACGCTTTTACACATGGAGGCCTTTACACACAGAAGCTTTTACGCACAGAGGTTTTCACACGGAAGCTTTACACAGAGAAGCGTCTAAACAGAGCATCTTTTAATACACAGAAGCATTTACACGCACAAAAGCTTTACATGCACACAGATGCTTTTACGCATAGAAGCTTGTTCACAGAGCTTACAGGCCGAAGGTTTGACGCAGAGAGGCCTTTACACAGAGCAGCTTTTACACACAGACGCTTTTACACAGAGATGCACAGAGTAGCTTTTGCACGCAGACGCCTTTACACAAAGAAGCTTTTATACACAAATGCTTTTACACATAGAGGCCTTTACACACAGAAACTTTTACGCACAGAAGTTTTTACGCACAAGCTTTACACAGACAAGCTTTTACACAGAGAAGACTCTACACAGAGCATCTTTTCTTTACACACAAAAGCTTTACACACACGCCTTTACACACAGAGCTTTTACACACAGACGCTTTTACGCATAGAAGCTTGTTCCAAGAGCAGCTTTTACACCGAAGCTTTTACACAGAGAGAGGCCTTTGCACAGAGCAGCTTATACAATCCTATATGCACAGAAACTTTAAACACGCAAATGCCTAAGCTTTTGCACAGACATGTCTTTACACACAGAGGCATTTACACAAAAGTTCTTCACACAGATGCAGCAGATGCTTCTACACAGAAGCTTTTGAACACAGATGCCTTATCACACAGAAGCATTTACCCAGAGACGCTTAGACATACACGCCTATACACACAGAAGCTTTTAGACACAGATGTTTTTCAGAGAATCACAGAAGCTTTGACACAGAGAAGCCTTTACACAGAGAATCTTTTACACACAGAAGCTTTTTAAACACACAAGCTTTTCCACAGAAGCTTTTGCACAGAGAAGCTTTTACGCACAGGAGCTTATACACACAGACGCCTTTACACACAGAAGCTTGTACACACGGAGGCTTTTACGCACAGAAGCTTTTACACAGAGAAGCCTTTACACACAGACGCTTTCCCACAGAAAAAACGATTCCACAGAGCAGCTTTTACACACTTCAAAAAAAACTCAATTGTACGTAAGTTTTTGACGTTCGGCCATCATATCGTGGCCGGGCCTCGCCAAATTTGCATTTTGCCACATGTTTGGATGTCCAACCTGCGCGATCTCTGCAGAGGGTTGCCCGTGCCCAAAAGACATTCACATTCCACCACATGTTTGGGCGTTCGAAACGCACGATCTCCGCAGACGGTCGCTGCGGGCAAAGACGTTTCGCATTTGACCACACCACATGTTTGCCCATCCGACACGTGCGATCTCCGCAGAGGGTTGCCCAAGGACAAACAAGACCCGCATTTCGCCACACGTTTGGGTGTCCGACACGCATCGACACGCCGCAGAGGGTAACATTTCGTAAGCCACCGCCTGGCTGTCCCTGCCAATGAAATAGAAGAACTGGAGAAGTCTGCTCTTGCAGGAGTTCAGATACAATTTGATCACCTGGAAGTTAGCTGAACTCCTGTGTAGCAACTCATGTGTAACAATTTCTGTGCCAATGACCTTGCAGGCAGGAGTCTTGTAGCAGTTCAAGTAGAAGTGGATCACCTGCAAGCCAACTCCTGTGTAAATGACATGTTTCAAGTTTTGTAGGAGTTCCCTAGAAGTTGACCACCTGTAGCTGATGTAGGTGATGTTGTCCATGTTGTAGATGATGAGGATGATGTTGTAAGTGATGTAAGGTTAGCTAGATTTGAAGATGTAGGTGATGTAGAGGATGCAGTGATATAGATGATGATGTAGGTCATGTATGCGTTGTAGATGATATGTGTCATGTAGATGAGGTTGATTTGTAGGTGATGTAGATGGTGTAGGTGACATAGTAGATGATGATGATGATGATGATAGTGTAGATGTAGATGTAGATGTAGATCTAAAGAAGATGGTGTAGAAGATGGTATAGAAGATGTAGGTGATGTAAAGGACATGAGGGATGTGGATGATGTATGTTAGGTAGATGAAGTGAAGAGTGAGGCGGCCAGCAAAATACCCTTCGCACGATCTCCGGGAATATTGGCCACAGTATTGCAAACGCTTGTGGAAAAACGGTTTTTCATAAAGTGTTTGTGCTGTGATTGCGCCTTGCACGCCCGACCTCTAGAGTAAGAAGGGCGGGGCGATAAACATACTTCACTCATTGCGTGTTTGGCAACTGTTTTTGTTTCTGGCTGTTGGGGATACTCTTTGGGCTTATTTTATTTTTACCACGCCAGTTTTTTGGAATCAAGGATGTCACCTGCAGGGCCTCAAACATGGCTGGGAAATCCTATTTTGTTATTCGGACATCATCTACGGAATCAGATGGATCACGGCGACGTTCCGAGCCAGGTACAGATGCACTATGCCAAGGCGGAGACGGGCGGGACACCAGATGATGTTGCAAGCTTTTCAGGTGACATCCTTCCAAGATTGTTAGGAAATTAACTGTATTGCATGAAATTGAGGTGCGAAATGTGCGAAATTCACAAACCCCACAAACATGTCCAAGGTGCATAGTTGAACCCAATGTAGCGTGATCCTTGAAAATCGTGAGTGGTTTGCAGATGTGAACGGGTAGACTGACAGAACCTTCTTGGGAATGAAATCATACAAACTGCCTGTGCGTTTGTTTAATATTTGTTTAATGTCGGACCGTATGCCAATCCAATTTCCATTGTGTAAACTCCGATTGATCCCTATTTGGGATGACTTTAGTTGGTTTCGATGGCTTCAATGATGGAAGGTCGGCACACGTTCACCCGTTGTGTGGGGACTCTTTAATGCTCAGGACTGGCACAGGATGGGAAGGATTTGCTGGATTTGTTTTTTTTGGTGCGCCAATGTTGAGGGATGTGACTCCGGAAAAATCATGAAAAATCCAAATCGGCCATATTTGCCAAATGACATTGCCAGATGCTACGGGACAGTCATGTTCCATTTAGCCCTACACATCCATTCCACCGTGGTCCGTATGTCAGTTTGATCAGATTCCCAGCAACAGATGGCTTCCGACATTTTGATCTTGGTTGTTTTTTTGGGGATTGAGAAAATCATCCAGTTGTTTTTTATGAGAAATGAGGGCTAAATTGATAGGCCAACGTATGCGATCATTCGCTCATGGTGCTCCGGTGGAAGGAAGAAGTGACCCGCGAGGTCTTGTTGCGGTACCTTTGCTGGCAATGGTGTTGTAAGCGGATGGAGGGATCTTTGCGCCATTTCCGCTGCATGTTCTATGTGAGTAACTGAGTCCCGTCTGCCTGGGATATCCCGAACTTGCAGACGATGGTCCAATTCCTGGATTTAAGTTCCTGGATGTGCTTCCTTGAATTCCTGCAAAGTGTATATAGATTCTATAGGGCATTGGAACATGAATTAAGAAACACCAGGCATGTGTACAGTAGTTTTGTGTGCATATGATCCCCGTGATATTCCGTTCAAAACCGCCTGTGTATATTTATACAAATTTTAAATATACATATATATATATACATACAAGTATGTATACATTTTATATATATATATATGTGATATTATATGTGTATAAGTAAATAAGTAAATGAATGAATGAATCAATCAATCAATAAATAGAGAGGGTAATCGTCCACCTAAAAAACCGGAGAGCCCACAAGATTACAGATCATGACTATCTTCAACTCATTTTAATTCAAACTTTAATTCTAAACGAAGATTTTCCCATGAAAACCACCATTTTCCAGGGGATTTCAGAAGGATTGTCCTTCTCAAACCAGCAGTGTTTTCCCTATGGACCATCCCAGGTGGGAGACGTTCCTCGTCTCGGTGATTGAGAACGTGCCATTGAGCGCTGAGTTGGAGGACCTAGACAAGGCCAGCAGCAAGAAAATCATGGTAGTTGTTGATTTATCTGGTTTTTGTTGTTACTATCAGAAATTTAGGAGGCAATTAGAAATTCAGTAGGTTTACAATTTTACAATTACTGGCCATAAATTTCAGGTGATTTCATGGAGTTTAAAACCAAATAGTTGGCTATGGCAGCCAGGGTTGCACAGATATTAGGTGTTATTTTCATGGGATGGTCATGTTTTTTATGTGTTTTGTTGACCTGTTTTTGCTTGAAGGAAATCCAGCAGATTGGGGGAATCTGGCGTGAATAATTTGATTTTTCTTTTGGGTGGCATCTTGAGGAAGTACAGTTTCTAGTGATTGGCAAACAAGAGCGCACTAATATTTATATATATATATATATGTATGTATGTATGCATGTATGTATGGATGTATGTATGTATGTATTTATTTATTAATGTAATGTAATGTAATGTAATGTAATGTAATGTAATGTAATGTAATGTAATGTAATGTAAGTATGTATGTACGTATGTATGTATGTATGTATGTATACGTATGTATATATATATATGTATGTATGTATGTATGTAATGTAACGTAATGCAATGTAATGTAATGTAATGTAACTTAATGTAATGCAATGTAATGTAATGCAATGTAATGTAATGTAATGTATGTATGTATATTTATATATATATACATGTCTACACATATATATATATTCACATATTTTTTACATAATAGTAACTTTTAGAAAAGTTCAAGGTTTCATTTTGAAGGATGAACTGAATTGGATTTTAAAAAAACACACATTCAAAAACATGTTGATTTCAACCAGAAGATGGGGGTATATAAATCCACAACATTGTGTTTCTTGGACATGGGGGTTAGTTTGCAAAAGAATCTGTTTAACCAGCATGAAAGTGGGGGGCTTACTGGCACAGAAATGTGACGTAATTTTTTAACATGCAAAGGCATTACTGTAGTCTAGGAAAAATTGGGCTCGAACTGGCATAAAAAAAATGACTTTTTCACAAGCACAAATGTTAGACCACCAAGTGCACGAGGATTCTTCGAAGAATAAACATAAATCCAAGGGGCAAAAATGAAGGGCATGCAATTGAATTGGGTAGGAGGAAGAGAAACCACCTAGAAAAATATTTTGCCGGGCGGTCGGTCCCAAAGTTTTTTGATGTTTTTCATCAAAAGCACGGTGATGGACCCCCAAGTGATGAACATTTCATGGATTTTTACCACCGACCATATCCCAACCAGCCAACGTCAGACAACCAGCCATGTTTTTTTCACGAGCCACACTTGGTGGCCGCAGCCTTGACGGTTCAAGGCCGTTGTCGTCGTTTCCGGGCCCCGAAAAACATGGCGGGACGCCGGCTTCGGCGTGGCAGATGAAGCTGAAACGCTTCCTGCTGAGATATTTTCCTCCTGGGATCCGTGGCATAGATGGCTGAGACAGGAAATATATGGAAATATAGCATGGAAAAACTGTATATAGTTCGGTGGATCAAAATACACATGTGAATGTATGTATGTTTATATAATTATATATATACATTGACTTCTTTATAAAAGCTCTTTCTGTTTGCAGACACTTCGGATACTCTTTTTTTGGGAGGTGGTTTGCCATGATCGTTTTTTGTTCTGCACTATTCTAGACATGTTTGGACAACTTTTTTGATTCAGCCAGTTCAAGCTCCTCCGGCCGCTGATGGATCCACATGGATCCAGATGGCAGTTCTCAGACGCAGCGGGTTTTTGGTTCTACTACATAACCTGCTATAGGATGCTGTAGTTAATGATGTTAAATGTGTAGTTTCTTGTAATGTAACCAACATTTACCCAGGTTCCAGGTGTCATTTTCCACCATGCGTTCCCAGCTGCCCAGGATCATCTTGGAGTATCATGCTCGAAATGGAGATCTGGAAACAAAATCCATTGATCTACTGGACTTGGCGCCCACTACAGAGGCAGAGGATTGAGGGCGATCTTGGTTGACCATCCGGCCCCCGGGACTAGGTGTCCATGTTTAGGCGAAGCGATCCTGAATCAGTGGATAGATCCTTTTGTGACACGACAAGGAAATAGCCTGCACAATCAACCAGCCTTGAATATGTTGAATCATTTTTAGAATGCACAGTAAACTACGGAACAAAAGAAAAGAAACGACGTTCGCCAAGGTCAACCTGCCTTTAACCTTGGAAGACTCGATAGAATTCAGCTGAAGAAGCTTCCACTCCCCCTTGCAGTGCCGAAGGTGGATGGATTGGTCAAACGGCTGGTGCGAGAAGAGCCATTGCTTTCAGACAGCACCAAAGACGCTTGGATCAGGGAGGTATCTGATGGAAACCAATTGGGGATAGAACTTCTCCTGAAAGGATCATCCGTGAAACGACACTGTCATGTTTGGGAAACCGAGAACCTAGTGAGACCAGGGTGGGAGGCTATCACAATCCACTATGGAAACTTCCATCATCCAACCAGCTTTCAGGCACAACTGGCAAATTTCGCTCAAGAGCTACCGCTGAAAACTTGGTTCGTCATAGCTTCCGATTTTGCTGGCCATGGAAAATGGCCCATGCGTAATAGGTAAATCATCTACAGATTGGTCATTCTCCATGGCTGTGTGAAATTACCAGGGGGAATTGTTAGAAGACTTATCAGACCCAGCTGAGGACACGCTGCAGAAGATGTGGCTCAATCGCAGGGCGGGACAGCTTCTCCTTGAAAGAATCCCCTCAAAATGGCTGTCAGATTGGTTGGATGTGACATGATGTGATGCTACCCCCCACTTCCATATTTATCCATATTTCCCATACATTTCATAGGACCCAGCCTTTTCCTCTCGGCCTTCCCCTGAGGATCACCAAACTCATTGAGAAGGGAACGGATCAGTCCTCCCAACGCTTCACGTTGTACAAGATTCTGCGAGGGCATCAGCTGCCACTCACCAGTTGCGCTTTCAACAAGTCTGGCTCCAAGGTCATCACAGGCGTGCCGGCTGGTTGATGTTTCAAGGGTATTTATCCATGGATTGATAGGGATTTAACATGGTTTAAAACCATGGTTTAGGAATGTTTAAGATGGTTTAAGTATCCAAAATATATGGTGATGTCATTGATACATGTTGGTTGATGATTAGTTTGGGGGGTCCGCACTGCAGAATATATTGGCGGATTATCACAACCAATTCCCCGAGAAGAAGCATATAAGCAACCAGTATCATGAAATGACAGAAGGGTTTGTAAATAGTTCACTTCTATTTACTGTACCCATTTAACCCCTGTCCTGCACCTTCGTAAAACCCAAAAACGATTGAGGTCAAGCCCACCAATTTTCGGTGTCGATCATGTTTCAAGTAAGAAATGTGTGGAAGCAAATCATTGGATTATTTTTCGGCCATGAACAGGACAAATCAGTCATGATGGCTATCAACTTTCCAGGATATGGGGGTGATAGATTTGACGGCCAAGCTGTGCCATGCAGGTTGGGAGCCTATAGAATCAGATGGTACGTGTTGGAGTTGAAGTGGCTACAGCCCCACACCTTGATTTTGGATGATTTGTGGCTGTAAAATGAGAAACACATATGGTTCGTTAAGGTTCAATGCCCTGGCACTGGGACCACTGGGATCCTGTCACCCTGTCCTCCAGGAACATATCCAAGCCATCCCTGCCACTTTTTTTTGTATGGAAAATCTGTAGGTTTCAAATGTCCCGATTTTCCTTACACACATCACCAATTCAACTCATTGATTGTGTGATTAGTGATCTCCCTTCTCATCCTTTTCCTGCATGAATATCCAAGTGCAAATGATAAATAAGCCCAGACAATCTATCATATCCCATGTTAGATATTGACTTATAGATATATCCCCTAAGCTTATAGCCCATGTATATAAGTGCACTTTTCTACATGATATATCTCATGTTATTGACTTATTGATCCAATATAGCTGGTACCCATAGCTATCCCATCCTATCCCGTTCATAGCCATCGCCAGGTTCGTTTGATCGAAGCTGCAGAGTGTGGGATACCTCGAGTGGGGAGGAACTCTTGGCGCTGCGACTCCGCCGAATTGGGAGGGCAACATGTCGTACTGTTAGAATCTGTTAGATACTGTGGACCATTATAGGCCTACAGTATGTGCAATATTTATCTTATATGAACTACAGCCAAAATTTAGGTTAATGGAAAGTAGTATTCGAGACATCTTTTTTTGGAAATTGAGTTGGAGCTTGGAAAACGATAATAGCTCTTCAAAAAACGATAACATTTGCTTATATATACCAAAACCTGAAAAACGATAATACATTCTTCAAAAATTGATGATTTGGAGCTATATACCAAATATTGACCGTGGCCCATAGATATAATACATACCTATGCCTAATATATATATATATATATATTTATATGCATATATAAAAAATAATAACCATAATAATGTATATATATATATATTATTATATATGTGTATATATATATATATATATCATATGTGCAAATATTCTGATACGTGATATAGATGTATGTAATGTATGTATGACCCTGTGTCTAAAAACATATACAAAAAAAAACAAAAACATTCTGTCTAAAGTGCTAGAAATTAAGATCGATCGACAGCATGAGATCGCACGATGTTGACAGCAAGGAACGGGCATAGCGATTTGATCTATGCCATCGCTGCTTGGTGAGTAAATCTGGCTGTCGCGGCAGGATGCAATGGCCAAATGCGTTGGGTCAAGCAAAACCAAATAGACCGAAAGTGTGTTTGAGATTTGTTTATATACCAGACAATCTATGTGTGCAATGTCTATCTATCTGTATATATATATATATTTACATACATATTTATTTACACATGTATATGATGCAGGATTTAAATAGATCACCGGCACACACGGAAGTATGAATCATATCATTTGTGATCACAGTTTAGGTACTTCAAACCTCCCCAGCCTGATTTTCGTCGTTGTGTTTTCCAGCCCTGACCCATCCCGTGTCGCTCGCAAGGCCTTAAATAACCCCTTTGGAGACAAGATCACCACGGGAAGCTTCGATCGAATTGCCCGGGTGTGCCTGGGCAAACGTTCGAGAGGGGAGTGAATGGTGCAGGACTGGGGTGTGGACTCCCATCAGGATTAAATCGCAAAAACCATGGTGATATATCCCAGTAGGACTGGAACCATGAACAAGTTATAAAATGTCGTTTGGTTCAATACCATAGATTCATCTAGTCGCATTCCCGTTCAGCATTAAAAAAATACCGTGATGTTTGGCTGGTCGGAAAGTTTTCCTTTGTTTGGCGCATGTCATGCCATGAAAAGTCTGGGAGCAGAGTCAGAGGAAATGATTACAGTAGCACGCGTTTCGCAACTTGGGCAGACATCATGGTATAAACGTATACAATTACATTCACATGTAGTTACAAGAAAACATAGTTAGATGATGTTAGAATGAATGTACAATAAAACATCGTTAGATGCAACAAGAGGTACTACCTCTCCAGTCTCCCAAATTTACATAAAACGTATCCAAGCCCTTCGCCAAGGTGGGACGCGAGCACAGGCGACTGCATTCATACACTGAAGCTATGACAGATGGAAAGGGGGCTCAATGAGTGAGTTGAAGAAAGTGTGCAGTTTGAAAGAAAATGAACGCATCGGATTTTTTTCGGCAAAGGGGTTCTAGAATGGATGTGCCCAGGAGGGAAGAAAAAAATCAAACAGGAGCATCAGTTGCTGATGGATGTCGTTGAATCACAAGCCGGACTGTAGCCAAAGTTTGTCGCTGGATTCGTGCCATGAATTGCTCCCATATTGTTGGTCCTTCAACACTATAGGGGTTTCCTAAGTCATGGGGATACCCCTAAATCATCAATTTTGGTTTGGGGTGTTCGATTCTAGCCATCCAGCTATTGGGGTACCCCCATGACTATGGAAACCTTTCGCTGGCTGGAAGTTTGCTGCACCAAGGACAGGACATTCAAAAGAGATCACATGCATCGGCCCTTCGGCTGCAAGACTCCTGTCCAAAGTCTTTGTATATATAAATTATTTAAAATTATGATAGTAGATTGTGTCAGTGTTACATTTATAATCATCGATATAGATTAGATATCTAAGATATTCTATTGTGAAATATCCAATAAAGAGATGTCTATCAATATTGTTTCAGAGAATTCCATGTTTTTTTGCCTCAAAGCAACTCACTGCTGTTTCCAGGTTTTAACCATCTCAGTACCGTACTGGCCACTGGCAGCGCGGATCATAGCGTGAAGCTCTGGGACGTGGACGCCACGATGGGATCGGGGTTGATGGAATTTGGAAGGACCAATTATATGAAATTGTGGATATTTATTTGAAAAAATTGAATAAAATGGAGAATAAATATATCACAACGGAATTTATTCCATCAGTTATATAGGGCATGGTTTTTGAAGAAAATTTTTCGCCAGCTACATAAACTATATATTGCTTTTGAGCCATTCACTAACTGAGATGCAGCTCCAAGTAGGGACTCTCTGGCTGATGGTACCCCTATTCCTATGGTCCCTTCACATACTGAATAGGGGTGTCTTATGGGAGTAGATTCCTAGGATGTCCTTTAAATTCCACCAAGTTTAAAACAGTGATTGGCTAAAAGTGTGGCTTCACCTGCACCAGAGTTGATTGAGATGGATTGGATCCTTGCGGGTTAGCCTGTTGGCACCACATCCAGAGGTGTGCCGATTGGCGTTGACCCACCGTATTTGGGGGGCTGAGCACCCAGAAGCAGCTTGTTTACATGGGTTTTATGAAATTGCTGGGGGAAAAAGCCGGTAATTCAATAAATCCACACACTCCCGAGTAATTTAACATAGTTTAACACTGGAAACTGGCCCATTGAGTTCCAGGATTTAGCTCAAGACAATGGTGATTTTCCATCGCGGAGTATTCAGCTGAAGGGTTCATCCTTGGCTGCAGGAAGTGGGGTTGCAGATTCGATCGATGGAGGGACACACAGGGGAAGCTGGGCGACTGTGGGCGACCCATGGGCGCCTAATAGGGGACACCATCATCATCCCAAGAATTGGTTGTTTTTTGTGGTTTTGGATGTTTGGGAAGTAAACCTGAACACTCATAAGCCATCAAACCCATAAACATGTAGCTCGCGAGGGGAAAACCTGGTGTTCTCTTTTGTTTTCAGGGATTGTTTTTTCAAAGAACCTGCATTTCACATCATTTCACCATCTATGATTGTCATTTCCGAGCCATGTATCAGTACATGTGTCTTGTTACATACCCCATACTCCACTGATAGCAGGATCATCGCCTGGGTTGCTTATGATGATATTTCCGATGGTTCCCTGTTCCTAATCCAAAGAAGACACAAAAAACGGTGAAAACGTACGGATATGTATATATATATATATGTATATACAGGTTCTTTCCAGAAAAGCTGGTTTCCATCCAAATAACCGGTATCTTGTCCGCACAAAACGAAAGCCGTATTTGACCCACAATCATGTAAACGTCCGCAAAAAAGAATGGGTTGTTGGCTCTCATTTCCCGTGTGCCATAGAAAGAAATCTTGACCTAGATACCAAAACCGCCCTGATAGCAGCATAGTAAAAGTGTTGGGGATGTGGGATTTGTTTGTGCATTTGATTTTCATGACAGTGTGCAAATTCTTGAGAATCAGCAACGCCTTGAAAAACCTTGAGTTTGAAAAACCAAGGTTTTAGGAGTTAAGATCAGGGTTTTCACAAAGAACCTTCTTGTTCACAGATTTTGGGGTTCTCATGGTACCTGACAATTTTCGACAATTTCTAATTCATCTTTATTTTACTGCTGTACTGAGGTTTTTCGTCAGGTTGAGGTAGATGGGGTGCCCCATAGCTGCACAAGAAATGGCATATAACTAAATATTATAACTTTTATGGCTGCCAAGATTCCAAGATCCTGCACTTAAGTGCTGTTCCACACCAGCGGCACCATGGACTCCAAGGAAATCAGCTCTTTGTGCTTCAGCAGCGATGGTTCCTGGGCAAACGCGTGGACGTTCCTGTGAATCACTGGTAAACCTAGTGGCCAATCTATAGAAATCATTTATCATGAGAGGAATCCCAGGAAACAACGTGGCTTGACTCAAATTCATTTGGATACAATTGTCTGACGAGCTCAGGGTACGTGGGAGGTCCCCCACATCCATGCCACAAAAAGAAACATATTTGTCGAAGAGGTGTGGAAGTACTGTCAACCCTGGATTAATAAACCCCCTGGGCTGCTGATCCTTGAGGAGGTACCGCAAATAATCTGTTGGGTTGATGCCCCCCAAATCAGTCAACCAGGGAACATGGCGATGCCCAAAATGGGATTTCTTAAAGCGCGGGCCATAACCCCAAGAGATCCCAAGAGCCATTGAGGTCGGTGTCAAGTCTTGGTTTTGCTGAGGAAATCCGAGCTACCATTTCTGTTGATGATTTTCCTCGAACGGTTCTATGCTGTTCGTAGTTCAGATATGTTCAAATCTAATTTGGCGGGGTGATCTTGGCTTTGATGCTGAAAGCCTCGCCCAAATGCTACACCCGGCGACCGAAAACCGAGGTGAAAAGCTGCTCACTGGATGCTTTGACAGCACCGCCAAGCTTTGGGAAGTCGCTCGCGGCCGATGTCTCTCGGTGGAACGTGGCCAACTTTTTTCCAGGGCATTCAAGAGTGGAAATGCTTAACCAATTCACCAACTGCATTTGTATAGTCAAGTACTTGTCTTCCAGGACATTAACTTAACTAATTATACAACGTTACTTAGCTCGGAAGTGTTGGTGTTGTTGTTATTGTCGTTGTCGTTGTCGTTGTCGTTGTTGTTCTTCTTGTTCTTCTTCTTCTTCTTCTTCTTCTTGTTCTTCTTGTTCTTCTTGTTCTTCTTGTTCTTCTTGTTCTTCTTGTTCTTCTTGTTCTTCTTGTTCTTCTTGTTTTCTTCTTGTTCTTCTTGTTCTTCTTGTTCTTCTTGTTCTTCTTGTTCTTCTTGTTCTTCTTGTTCTTCTTGTTCTTCTTGTTCTTCTTGTTCTTCTTGTTCTTCTTGTTCTTCTTGTTCTTCTTGTTGTTCTTGTTGTTCTTATTGTTCTTGTTGTTCGTGTTGTTCTTGTTGTTCTTGTTGTTGATGATGTGGAGCCTGACACACTCTTACATAGTCCATGGTGGTTCAGGCATGGCTTGTCACAGAAGCTAATCTATTGATTTGCCTTTTTATTACGATGCTTCCTTCCGAGCTTTGCCAAGAGACGTATCAGGTTCGCGGCGTTGGAACATCACAGCCAAACAGACAATTTTCTTTCACATGCAAAAGCATGCACTTGTTAGATGCATTGCATGATGTGCCTACAATTATCGCAATCCCTTCCCCCACATTAAAGACATTTAAAGACTCCCTTTTCAAAACTTGTTCAGGCAAACCATGGTCAAAAGTAGGGAATAACTATACACATGTATAATTACACCAGTTTGGGATCATGTAGGGGATGGGATCAATATGGAGTAATGTTGGTAAAGCAATAGTACCCTCTAGCAAACTAGCATAGCTATGGAAAATCGCAATCTTTAATAGGTAAACCAACTAGAATGGGCCATGTTCAATAGCTATGTTAAGCTACCAGAGGGTAAGCCAGCCACAATTTTACCATAAATGGCTGGTTTTTAGCAGGATCAGCTCCCAGGTCTTTACACCCTCTCCGGCCATGGTGCCGAGCTCAAGAACAAGCAGATCCAGGACAGCCTGGGTCAGATCCAGGACAGTTAGGTATCAAAAGGTTGAACCATGATTAATCTATGCGTATTCTTGATGTTATCGAAGGAATTTTACATGCTTCAAAAATTTTCAGTGCCACTGGAATCGGGACATGACCGGGAACTGCCAAGCATCTGTGGTTTTCATCTCACCTAACCATTATGACTTACAACAGTCCCCGGAATCAATGTCACAAGTAAAGGAGTTCAATCACAACAACAAAAATATGTAAAAGCTGATGCATCTCCCCTAAAGAAAGCAAAAAAAACAAAACTATTGCACACAAAAGCACACTATGTTTTTCCCCATGTGATTTCCCCCTGGCTACACCATCAGCATCCTTGGAGGAGGGGCATCGCGGCTACATCTCAGTGGCACGCTTTGACTTCACGGATCGTTTGTGTGTGACTGCCAGCATGGATGGCACCTGCAAGTGGCCTGGCGAAGGGGCGGGACTTGGGCGGGACTCCCTGCTGCAACTTAGCTCACGAAGAATCATTTCCGGGTACGTTGGTATGGCACATAGATACATAGACATATATGAGTAACCGACAATTAGCGGAAGACTAAAGTAGTGGGGGGTGGACATGGGATGTTCAAATGTGTGCAAAAACATTCACAACCGATAGGGGGCCACCCACTTACCGATACTCTATTTTTGGTTGTACAACCTGCACAACCGATAGGGGACCACCTACTTTGGCCATGTCCATTGTGGGTAGTAAGTAATTTTGTCCGCCACTCATATAATGACTTATGTTTTGTGTATACATATATATATATATATGTATGTATGTGGATATGTGTGTGTGAGTGTGTGTGTGTGTTTATTTTAAAACCTAGTTCGATTACACAATGTTATGAAGCAAGACGCATAACATGCGGGGGCACCACTTCAAGTAGGACGCGGGATGGTCCAGGGATGAGGCTGTTAGGTGTTTTACACTTTTCAGGTGGCTTGAAACCACCGGGCACCAGGTCATCATAGGCTGAACCTGGGGATTTTCCATAGCAAACTGTTAGATACTGGGTAACATGACTGGTAATAGTATCTATAGAAACTGGAATGTGTTAGTAATACTGGTAGTAACAGTAACTGATTGGTGGTTTCATACATTTTTAGTTTTTCCATATATTGGGAATAGTCATCCCAACTGACTAATGCTTTTCAAGATGGTTAAAACCACCAACCAGCTATTACCCAGATTTGTTTTCATCAAATCCCAGAGTCTATTTCGAGGCGGTGCCTCCTTGCTTTACATGACTAAAGCCGGAGGCTTTGGAGATGCGCCAAGGGCCGGTGCATTGAGACGTTACGCAATCACAACCAACAGCCTGCAGCTCGGCCATGGCGTTCCATGGTGTGATATTGGTATTGTATAATATGGCAAATGTAAATTATATAATATTATATATATATGTGGATAGATTAGATAGATAGGTTAGATTAGATTAGATTAGACGAGACTAGACTAGACTAGACCAATAGATAGACAGACAGACAGACAGAGACAGACAGAGACAGACAGACAGACAGACAACTCCAGTTATCGGGATATGATGTGTGATGATTTGCCTGTTGAAATAGGGACTGTCCATATGCTATGTCGGTTTACCGGAGGGTGTGTATATGATATAGCAACTATTAGTGTGATTACATATCGTATAACCATAGACCATGGTAGCTCAGTTTGTTGATTGATCCCTAGTTATTTCAAAAACCCTGGTGAAACAAGGATTATTTTTCCAGACACCAACTGAGCTGCCATAGTCCATGGTTCTAAGATATATAATCCCACTAGCCAGAAGTAGTTGTATATCTACTATGTGGTTTGGAACATGTGGATTATTTTCCCATCATATTGAGAAAAATGATCCCAATTGACGAACTCAATTTTTCAGAGGTGTAGGCTCAGCCACCAACCAGGTATCATTTACAGTATCTACCTGTCTATGCATCAATCGAAAGTTGTATCTATATCTATACCTATATCTACGTATATTTATATCTATATCTACCATACTTATATTCACCCCATTTGGTGCCAGCCTAGCCTACCTAACCACCTTGGCAAACTAAGTTCTAACTAGCGTATGGTTGTAAGAAATAAATACGCCTTGCAACTCACCAATACTAGTCATAACAAATCATAACAACCATGAAGCTACTCATTGGTCTCCGGCCTTGATAACCCTATTAACTCTAGTTCTATATGTAGATATATAATATATATATATATTATTTCATCATATGATTTCATATCAGTATTACCTCACCCCCCTAATATTAAACTGTTCCCAAAAAACCATGGGTTAGTTTAGTAGGGAATTTCCACCTCATTGAGACCATTTAAGTGGTGATGTTTAATAAGGGGGGTGGGATTATACTATATATTGTACTTGTTTTCTATCATTTATCATATCAGTAAGAAGGTAAGTTGTATCATACCATATCATATCATGTCATATCATACCATATCATACCGTATACCATATACTGTAATTTTCATATCATATCAAATCAATATCATTGCATGTTTCACTATATATAGTCACATCATTTCGTACTATATAGTCATTTCATTTCATTTCATTTCATGTGAAATCATATTTTATCAATATCAAAATGAATATCATATCATAACATATCATAACATATCATATCATATCATAGCATATCATAACATATCATATTATCATATTGTACTATACTAGTCATATCTAGTTCTTCACCCCAGTGGCACGTTCCCGGCTCCAGGTCCTGGACGCGTGTTTCAATCAGACGGGCAGCCGCCTCGCCTCGGCCTCCAGCGACTGCACCTGCGTGGTCTATGCCTTGGCCGCGGCAGGACCGGAGGAGAGCCATAGCGTTCAACGGCAGGTGCGGCTAGGGCAGGGGTTATAGGGGATGGGTAGGGTTATTTTCCCATTTTCCCAATGGTTCTGGATGGGTGAATGAATTGGGAAATGGCGATGGGAAAATGGGAGGGTTGATAGTGTCGAAATGGTGGCGAATGCTCGGTAGAATGAATTGTGCGAAATGAAATGACATAGATGCAGGACCAAGCGCCGAAGCGCCAGACATGTGGGATACTTGGGGTACTCTTGGCTATGCTACACTGATCTAAACTCCACCAATTTCAGGGTTCACAAATAGATTTGTCAGAAAATAAGGTACCCCAAATGGTTTATCGCGTTCGCTATTTGATAGCCAGAAATGGTTGGTATACTTCATTTTCAGACGCGCCCACATGCCTAAAATCATCTAAAACTGCGTTCAACATGAATGCTATGTTGATCTCCCGGAGACGGCCGTGGAGAGAGGGAAAGTACATGAAAGATCATGAAAGTACCATGCATGATCCCGTGTCAAGTTTCCGTCTCTTTTCTGCACTCTGAAAATATATGAAAATATCACTCCATTCCATTTTCCAATGTCAAAAAAAACCTCATTCTCCATTGATTCTCAGTTCCCCTTTTAAGCGGCCATTTGGGGGTGTGCCCCATTTTCAGACAAGGTGCCCCCAAAATGGTGAAGATTCGCCTCATTGGCGCTGGTTTAAGCTTCGCCAGAAAGCCATGTCCAGTGGAGGTTGAATCCTCATGATCTCTGGCCGTCAGGCCATGTCCACGGTGCTCTGCAGATTGGTGGGACATGAGAAGGAAATCTCCAGAGTCCAGTAGCTTGCCTGGCGATGGGACGTCGAAGCTGTGACGACATGGCAAACACCGAATAGATATGGAACATAGTGAAATACCATGTAAAATTCTATTTTGTTCGTTTTTTTTGAAGGCCATATGATATGGAAGGAGGCATGAACACCCATGAGCACCAGCAAAATTTGATGGGGGGCTTCAAAGATGGGAATAGAACATGATAGAAGGAGTTCACGCAGAACAAGGAATCAAAGAACATATGGATTTAGGGAATGCTTATCCAGTGAAGAGGGATTGAAATGACAGTCATGCGGAATCCCAGTATTGGAAGCATGTCTCTTGTCAGGCAAGACTCAAGCTATCAAAATGATGCAGCAATGGCAATGTAAGCATATAATGACCCTTATAGATACCCAAGCCCATCAAACAGGAACAGGAAACTTGGGACATCACTGATCATTTCCTCCAATTCGGGTTAGCAAAATGAAGGGAGGAAGATCGTCCAAGAACTGCTAAACGGCTGCCTGTTGGCACATTCGGTGGTGCACCTGATAGTCATTGTCTTGAATAGTTAGTAGTGGTTTCCAAGCTGCCAGTTGGTCCAAGATAATTCGATTTTGCTTCTTCAATCATCACCACCCGTGCGAGAAGAAACATTCAAACCATTCACCAAAGACTCGCTTCTCTCCAGCAAACTAACAATAGCCATGGAAATTCACCACGGTTAATAGGTAAATCAACTATAAATGGGCCATGGCTTCCAGTCCGCAAAGGTAAACTAACATAGCCACATAGCTATTGAACATGGCCACTTATAGTTGATTTACCCCTTCAAAATGGTGATTTTCCATACTAGTTATATGTCATATAGTTGACCAGAGGCTACCAGATGTAGCTTTTATTTTCACCGAGGTTTAGCCCCAACGGGCAAAAGATCCTCACCGCCTCAGCGGATAAGACGTGCCGTCTGTGGGGCATGACAGGCCCAGTTTTTTGTCGGCTTCCATGGAGGTACCCCAAGCGAGCATTGGATTGTTTCATGGAAAAATCCCCATCTATAAATGGATGATGACTGGGGGTACCCCCATTTTGGGAAACCTCATGAAACCTCCGTATCTATAGTCTATCACCTGCAATATCACTTGGGAAGTTGCCATGGGACACAGCTACGACCCCCTGCAATGGAAGATGCAAGCTCAAGAATCTCAAGAATCATAAGGATGGCAGCGTTGGAAAAGGAATATATGATCTTCCGACCGCATTTTTGCAGATTTTCCATGTCCTCAAAACCAGAAAAAATCCCCGGCCACGGCGACGGATAACCTTGACAGGCACCTGTTTGCAGGTTTTTTCAGGACACAGTGATGAGAGCCTCGGACGTGCTGGGGGGGTCTGAAAATGGTGTCCCGTTTCACAAAAATAGGTAAAACAGTTCATCAATAAAATTGGTGATGTTCCATGACTACTAGCAGCTATCTTAAATACCAGAGCACACCCAAAAACGATTGGTTTCTCCGTTGGAAACAGTTAATTAAACATGATCGGTTAGCTCTTGGGCTGACTATTGTAAGAAAGCCTCTTATGTTGGCGCCCCAATCGAACCACTGCACACCCAAGACCTGTCATATTTCCAGAAGTGCGGAAGGCGCTTCAAGAGTAACTAACGTCTTGTTTTTTTCCGAATTGATATACTGGGTATTCAAACTTGAGCATCTACCCAAAAATCTCTTTGACCCCGTTCTCTGGTGACTTGAGTTGCTGGTCACTTGCCGTAGATTTTTTGGGCACTTGCCGTGCATAAGGATTCTGCACTGCACCTTCAACTACGATGGTGATTGTGCCTAGGCTCAAGGCTCGTCATCCAGATCTTCCAGGTGATGGTAGGATGGAATGCCATCATGCAATGGGTTGATGAGATTTATTTTTCAACAGGATTTGAAAAAAAACCTGGCTTCTAATAGACTTTCCCCTTGAACCAACTTAATGAGAACATCAGCATTTTCATGTTGGCCCATTTTTTTTTCGGCGCCCTGGGCGCCGTGAGGTATTCTCCTGGCTTCCAAAGACAATACCTGCAGCATTTGGAAAGATGTGAATCTCGCATTGGAAGAGCAATAGTGTTTCGAGATGTGGGGATGGGTCAAAACCAATAGTACCCCTGTAGTTCACATCAAAATAGCTGGGATTTATGGATGTGAATAACCCACTAAAAATGGTATTTTCATAGGTATTGATCCATAGCCATGTTTCGAGTCCCTGATGTGGCTGCAGTTGGGGTACCACGAAAAATCACCATATGGGGATGGGTCGAAACCTAGTATTGCGATATTTGGAGGAATAAACATCCATTGATCAGCTATTGGGAAAATAGAATATATGGTAGATAGGATATAATCAACTAGATTTATAGTATATGATATACCTTATAAATCTAGATGATTACATCCTATATACCATAAATATTATACCCTATATGGTATTAGATGTTATGGGGAGCACCAGGGTTTTGACTCATAGCCATATATCACCGTGATTTGAGTACCTCCGGGTTCCGCGTGGAAGAGCCATGCCGGAGCGTTGTGAAAAATTGGTGGAGAAGGGAAGGACGTGAAACACGAGAAACAGCAATAATGTGGTAAGGGGATGGTTAGGATTTAGGGAATCATCCCACTATAGTCTTAGTTCAGGTTAGTCCCCCCCTACCCAGATATAAATATAATGTGGTTAAACCAATGCCATTTTTACCACCCATGACTGGCAATGGTAACCATACCACCTATAAAAATGGTGATGACTGGGGGATGGTTTATCATTGTGGAAAAAACACATTGCAGACACGGTGAATATCAACAAGTTCTATGGCATCCTCAAAATAAGATACTGTAGAGCATGCTGATGGGCTTATAGCAGTGGATAGAACAAGTACAGAACAACTACCTTGGAAGAAGGACCAAACACTTTTTCGGTTTAAATGCCCCTTTGCAACTCCTCAATTTGTATATTCTTTAGTTATTGTATATATATATATAAATATTCTCATAAAAAACTGCCCAATATCTTACGTTAATCTTATCTCAACCTCTGTCAGCAGGATTGGCCAGCAATTTGCACGTCACCAACCGGGCATTGAATTTTCTGTAGCACGAGGGTTAGTCCGAAGTAGGAACGTACGTATCATTTTCTACGGGTTAGTGGTCTCATGTTGTTGATGTGAAAACTCCCATTTAGAGGGGTGTTTTTTGACGTGCTACTAATGATACTAATATGTTATTTTAATGGTGGTTGAAAAGTTGAAACCACCGTCACCATCTAGATCTATATGTGCGGTTGATGGACTGAAGCAAATCGAGCCGAACTGACTATAGAATATAGATATGTTTGATGTGTCAACACCAAACTGCTTCTATCTTCTGAAAGGAGGTACACCTCAGCCCCACCCACCCCCACATCTCAAAGCCCTGGGAGGCGCAACACATGAGTCCGGAGGCTAAGGGAGATCAAATTCTGTTGTTTATACAGCAAAATCATTTGATTGTTGTAGGTCTCAAACATCTTAAAGCGTTCCATCCATGGAAGATGGTCTTGGAGGTCTCTGCAAATGTGTCAGCGTTTTTCGTGTTTTTCATGGACGGAGAGGGTGCACGTTTGGTAAGGCCAGCTGCTGCGAGAGAACCAGTCGCAGGAATGGCCGCCGCTTGTTGGATCCAATGAGGGCTGCGACAACCAAAACTGGGAGTAAGGGAACCAGTAATGTTTTTATGGCCAGGGAAACTTGGGATCAAACTTGATCAAACCACTAGTTGTTTTTCTTTCTTATCCTGTGGATATACCAAATATAATCACATATGACAAACATTTCTGACATGATACTGCGTGTAAATGTCAAAGAAGGCTGCGTCACCTGAATCATGGTCGTGCTTGGGATTCCTGAAATATGATCGGACGTCGGGAAAACATGGGATGTTCCACCAATCATAATGTTGATGTTAACCTAATAATAATGGTATATATAACCAAACATACTAGGGATCTTTATTGATGTTTTTAATGGTGAAACAACTTGGAGATGGGACATATCTATACCGTGGGAAGGGGTGAACATATCCTCATCGCTGCACTGGGCGACTCTCATAGATACTGCCACCCTGTTGGTTTAATCATACTGTACACATTCAAGTAAGATTTGTTCCTATGTTGGATCCGCAAATTCATAGTTTATTCCCCATTTTGTTCCTATGTCATTCCTATGTTATTCCCACCGTTCCTATGTCATTCCTATGTTATTCCCATTCAATAGATGTGAATCACATCATCTCATGCCGAAGCCGAGAAGCCGAGGTCCGGCTTGCGTGGCATCTTCGTGGGCATCTCCTCGATGTTTTATGCTGCCAGGGACAGCTGGTTGGACTGGTGGAGCAAGAGATGGCAAGATGGAAACAACATTTTGCATCATGTTGCCATGATGTTGATGCACATGTACCTAATTTGTAATCATATCTATGCATGCATGCATCCATCCATGCATACATACATACATACATGCAGTAGATACATAATATGATATATATATATATATATTATTATCACAGATATCAAATCAGAGAGAGATATAGATATATTGATACATATACATGCAGATCATGCAGCCACAGGGTCTAGTCACGCTTTTGCAAAAGCCGACTTTGGCAGCCTCCTCTTTTCAGGACGCCGGGATCACGGCAAGGCTCATTCAGAAGAAGGCGGGGCTCGCTAACAACAGAGAGGTTTTTGGGTACATTAGGGTGATGAATAGTGATGAGTATGATCACAGGGATGATCAGGATAGGATGGTCCAATGGTCTTCCAAGTTGTTGATTTTGTTCCACCCAGGATTGCCTGAGCGCCTTCACCACAGCCTTGGAAGCAGAGTTGCGCGATCCCAAAGGCCATGTCAAATCGCGAATCTTCAGGGATTGAAGCAACTCCCAAAGATGACCCCAGTGAGTTTTCCGCCAGTGATGGTGAATAAGCCCTTATTTTCTTTACCACGGAAAAATCGCATGATTTTTCTTTCACAAAGCTGGTAGGTGCCAGGGAAGATCCAAAGAAACTGCAGCTGCATCACCAGAAGGCGGGCTTTTTTGGATGGTCGGAAAATGGATGAAAATGGTCCGTTCATAGATGGTTTTACTGTAAACGGCTTACCTATATATTACCCTCTGGTAAACTAACATAACTATGGAAAACCACCATTTATAATGAATGTTCCCATGAAAAATGGTGATTTTCCATAGCTATGTTAGTTTACCAGAGGGTAAAACTTGAGATTGTCCGCAGCTATGTTGAATCACTAGAGGGCCTTTGAATTGGCAATATAATGAGAATATATACTGGGGTATTCATCTGATAATCCGTGGCTACTGTCGGAAATCATGGGGGCATAGTGTACCCTGGGATACCTAACATAGATGTTGAGAACCCATCATTTGTAGATCATTGTCCTAGGAGTTCCCCATGGTTTTTCCACATCTATGTTAGGTTACGTAGGGCAAATAGAATCGCAGAACTCACCAAATGATCCCAAATGGGGATGTCTATGGGATTCCATATATGTATTTATATATATATGATATGGATTGATATGGGGATTATAATATTGGCAATGGGGACCCGTAATTGTCCCATGAATACTAGGTTATATGTCCATTCAAATTCCTATGTTCATTCAAGTTGGTGAAGAGAACCCCATTTCCCAGCGAAAACGTCTGCAGTGAGGTGGCCAACCTTGCGATGGTGTGGGGACCTGGAGACCCGACACGGAAATGTGCAAGGTTTTGGGTGGGGGAATGGCATGGTTAGTAGTCATTGAATGGAAGTATAACGGGGGTAAAACCACATAACTGGAAAAGAAGTGGAGATATGGAGATTATATTGACATTATACCAATTTGTTGTAACTCTTAATGACAAATGACAATCAATTACTATTTGTCATCATTGTATGATGACTATTTTGGTGACTAGTGACTAGGAATGACAAATGATAATTTGTTTTAGTAATTGAGTTGTATATTTAATGGGGTTGTAAGGGGGATATTGGTTTTATAAGCAACAAGATGGTTAATATATGTGGATTCCTTGGCCAATCAAACATGGCAAGCCAAAAAATGCTGTATAAATGTAGGGTACATGAGAAAATCATGGAACTAAATGCAGTATTGTTGATTGCCATGTTCGGAGCATGCATCAAAACATGAACATATATCCATACAATTGTGAAACATGAAGAACTTTTGACATTTTAGATTCAATGGCCAGATTTTAGAATCTATCTAGAAATGTTGTGGATATTCTAAATCGAAGATTGGGAAACACTAACCAATTTAATTTGGCCTTGTCTTATGGTTTCAAATGTGTTCTCCCTTTCATCCCCGTTCAGAAATTTGGATGCCACAGTTTTCTCGACCTTCACAGCCTCGGCTGGGGCCCAGGCTCATTCCTTCATCAGCAGGTTGCTGCATGATGATGCCTGGCTGTACTTCCGAAGATCTTGGCAAATGGGTGCCGCCCAACTGGACCGGGCTGGGAGGGGCTGGGTAGCAGCTAGGTGCGCCAATCCAATCAATCCATGTTCAATCAAGGCTTGAACAAAATTAACATCAAACCACGTTCAAAATGGGTTTCTCTGAAAATGGGGCACCGTTAAAACCATAAACTGGCTTAAACCATCAGTCTTTTGTACTAGACATAAATTGGGGTTAAGTCCCCTTTTTTCAGACAGTGCCAGATTGCTGATTGTATGTATAGTTCTTTAAATCCTAGTAATGTTCCATGGATATGATATACAGGTAAAATAGTCGGTTATGCCCTCCAATTACTGGTAAATCCTGGATAAAATCGGAAAAATGCACCACAACAAAGATTATATAATATTATATAATATATATATATATATTATATGTGCACATAAGAATGGTTATTCTTGATGTTCCATTCATAGATTTCATTCAGATTCATCCCTTATACTCACATCCCGCTTGAAAAGCCAGGCCAAAGCTCCTTCATTGCCACCTGGTCCTTGGGAGTGTCACTTGACCTCACCGGCCTGACCGTCAGGTTATTCTACGTCGCCATCAAAAGGGGAATGGCTAAAAGATGCTACGGCGCTTTCAAAAACATAGAACATACATGGAAAAACCATGTGGATCCATTTGGTAATTCAATAGTTTATGGAACATGTGATATTGATGGATGATTACTTTCATGTTTACCTGTAAAGAAAAATGAATGACTTTCCATAGTTTTGTTAAATCTCCAGGGGGCATATTAATTGATAGTCTGACCATATGACTATATTTTTGCATTAATCAACATCGGGTTTCTAATTGACTCAATTGTCCAGATATGAAGTTATGTAATGACATTACAGTATCCATATATATAGTGCTAATAGTATGCAGATATGAAGTTATATTATTACTTATCCAGATTCCAAAAATATCCCAATATGACATGATGACGTTCTTTCAGTGTCATGTATCCACATATGTGCTATAAATGCAGGTGCGTATGGTTAGAGACGAGGATCTCCCTTGCAACTAGTTTCATAGATAGTCAATTTTACTATTTTTGGATGTCAATTTACCACTATTCATAGTAAAATTGACTATAGTAAAATGTACATAGTAAAATTACATCTATCTTGGGATTGCATCCAAACATAGTAAAGTAAAATATTACATCCTATTCAAGTAGGATTTCACTTCTCTATCTTGGGGTTGCTATAGACAGTTGCACCTTGGTGCCCGGCAACGCCGCGAGGTTTCTGAACGGCAAACGAAAGGACGGCAACCAGGTGAGACCTGTCGGACCTCATGGGGGATCCCCAATAGCTGGATTAATAATGGAAAATCATATTGCAAGGGATGATTTGGGGATACCCTCATTTTAGGGAACCTCCAAATGGGCAATTGTTCAATATTGTTCATACATATCTATGCAAAGATTACCAGAGGGTATTATGAACGTCATCAGGATGATAATATATGATAATTATCATGATCAAGAATCATATTTCCATATCTTGCTATAGTGTTGTTGTATCATGTGTAAATGGTTCTATTCCAGAATGCCATCAACAAACCCCATCCTTTGATGTCCGTTATCAAAAATATTTGGTTATATTGCCCACCGGTGATTTGTATCCCATTTTGGTGAGCGGTATCCTTGTTCTTCACACAGGGGTGCTCGTTCCTTTCACCTATGTTTTTTGTATGTGCATTTTTGTTGGCAGATCTTCATATCTTCCTTCTGCCCCATAATGCATGGTGCTGCGTTCCTTCGGTACTTGCGAGTTGTCCCTTGCTTGTTTTCATTTGTTCTAATTGTTTTCTGCCATGCTATAATCTGTCAATTAACTAGATGATACCCACTTTTCCTGCTACCTTGATTGTGCCTACCAACCCCATCCCTTTACCCGTTCCGTAATTTAACTACAGTGTAGCTATTGAAAATGTTTCATTGATATCTGATTTAGCTCTTCAAAATGGCGATTTTCCATTGCTATGTTAGATTGCCAATATAATATCCCGCTAATATCCCACCAATACAATCAATATCCCATTAAATCCAACTAAATCCCACTAAATTCCATTAAATCCCACGAAATCCAACGAGATTCTATGAATACCAAGTCATATCCCATTACCATCTGGTTATTTAACATAGCCATGGAAAATCACCATTTTTAATAGGTAAACCATCTATAAATGGGCAATTTTCCATGGCTACGTTAAATAACCAGATGGTAAATCCCAACTATTTTTCCATTGGCCACGGCCATCGCTCCAAAGCACCTGCAGGCCACGGGAAAAACGGCTGGTGCCTTCACACGTGTCCGAAGCCGACTGGACGAGGTGCGAATTTCCATATGCTATTTGATATGTGTGAATACAGTTATGGGTGTTATGGTATATGGGTATGGATCAATACCTATTAATACAGTTATTAATACCATTTTTAGGGGGATGAACATCCATAAATCCCAGCTATTTTGATGTGAACTACAGGGGTACAAGGTTTTGACACACTGCCATATAAGAAATGATGATATATCTGATATTATCCTTCACACATATGGAGATATGGATATACATATGTAATATTATGTAATTATATACACTTAGTGATATGGATATACATATGTAATTCTGGTATATAAGTGAGTTTTCTATCCATATCAGTGATCCCATAATACATATATCCCACTTATATCTGGTTGGTGGTTTAGAACATGGCTTTTATTTTCCCATATGTTGGAAATAATACTCCCAACTGACTAATATTTTCAGAGGGGTTGAAACCACCAACCAGTATGTAATTATGTATATATGTAATGTACTGTAATGTAATGTACTGTAATGTACTGTAATGCAATGCACAGTATATAATGCAATGTAATGTAATGCATGTACGTATAGTGTGCATATATTTTACTTGCATATGATATGATATGACGTTATCATATAGGATATCATATGGCATGGGATATCCAAATAAGTCACGTATATATACCCTCTGGTAATTTAACATAGCTATTGAAAATGACAATTTATAGTGGATTTTCCCATTAAAAATGGTGATTTTCATTGATTTTCCATAGCTATGTTAGTTTACCAGAGGGTATATATATGCTTATCCGTGGGGGGGAGACCGTGGGATCCCATGTTTTGATATCCTCTGGTACTCAAACGTGGCTTGCTGGAAAATCCACCACCATGTAGTTCGAGAATTTTCCCATCAAGACCTGCATGTTTGATTACAAGAGGGTGTGTGTGTGTGAGTGTGTGCATATATATATAGATAGATAGATATATATATATTCTCTTCTGGGATATCATATTGAGATGCAACATGGGATGTAGAACTAGATTCACGAGATACAGCATTGTCTGGTTTGTCCCTGGGGACCACCAAAATCAACTGCTTTATAGTTTTATTATTAAAGTGGTTCGCTGGTGCTGTTCTGGGGGACGCACCCTATTTTGCAGAAAGAATCAGCAGTGGTTTCGGCAGATGCATGGCTTCCAACACTTTGACCAGTGGATTTCCAGAGTTTGGTCTACACAGCCTTCTTGACGATGGGAGCACACGGACTCATGATATTCATAGACCATCTCTCGCCGCTGAAACTATTAGTGATTTTCTGGGAGCTGCTCGGAACCAGAGATAATATCACATTTTGTTTTATCCCCATATACCTATATATATAATTATATGACAGTATAATATATTGTATGTATATCCTCAACATTTTCTCCCTAAGCATCAGATGTGCCAGACCGCTGGTGAGGCCGTAGATGCCGTCGAGCATATGGAGGACCATCACGTTCTCCAGTTGTAAAAATGGCCATACTTAGGGATAAACCCCACCATTTCTAGGCAAAACCATAGTGGAATGCCAAAAATTCAATGATTGAAACAAATCCGCTCAGATTTCTCAGAATTATATTTTAAATGTATTTAAATGCGTGTTTTCCATGTCAGTTGTTGAATGTGATGAAACTATTGACCACTTTTTCATGGATTTTTATGGCCTCGGAAATTCTCAGACATTCTCAGATGGTTCATGATGTTTATGATGTTTATTGTTCATCCGAAGTTTGCAAGGGGTGTGCTTCTACAGCCCGGTTTTAAAGAAGGTTATATAAACAATGTTGAACATTTTTTTTTTGTGCCTTTAGATTTAAATATTTAATCAGAGGACACATATTGGGATCTCGGATGTTCAACCATCCGTTTGTGAGGAAACCCCAGTTTTTCTGTTAGTGCAATCCTTGCGATCCCTATGGGCAGGCCATTTGTTCAATGACAGGAGCAGAATAAGCAGCACAACTGGGCAAGGCGCTTGTCCGCTGCCTTACGCCACTTGGAGTAAGAGAGGGTGATACGACCATCATGGTCGTCGTCTTCATCTTCATCTTCATCTTCTTCTTCATCATCATCATCATCGTCATCGTCATCGTCATCGTCATCGTCCTCATCGTCATCCTCATCCTCATCCTCATCCTCATCCTCGTCCTCATCATCATCATCATCATCATCATCATCATCATCATCATCCTCGTCATCGTCATCGTCATCGTCCTCGTCGTCGTCGTCATCATCATCATCATAATAATAATAGTCATCATCATCGTCATCGTCATCGTCATCGTCATCATACTATCATTATCACCAATATGATTGCCTTGCTGGAATTGTTTGCACCCGGAAACCCGGTGCATGCCGCAGCTCCAACGATTTGTTTTCTCAAGCCCCGCAATGCCAGGGGCAGGGGACCAGGGATGAGGACATATAGATCTTCGTGGGATCACAAGCCATTTCTTTCCATTTCTTCAAGGTTGCAACCCTGCACCTGGCCCTCCTGAAATCTAAGACCCTACTCCAACACATCTCACCCACATCAACAAGCTACGGTGGTGGAAAGTTGCTTCAAGCCCCACGGCCCTTGCCATGGGCCTGGGTCTTTTGATATTTTTTGAACCTTGGCATCAAACAGCGTTTTTTTGTCTGGAAATTCAGTATAAATTTGGTGTTAAAGGGAACGAGATGAAACAACATGTACAGCATGCAGTGTTAAAACAACATGCTGTGACCGCCAAACATTGGCTCAAGCGTATGGAGAAAAGGGATGCGTCGTGTGACTCCGCATGGCATTTGTCGGCTACCAGTAGCAAGGGTACTACAGGTCTGAAATAACATCCAGAACAAGGATCCATTTGTTCACAGGTTATCAGCCGTAGGGCTCACTTCTCCCGTCGGGAGAGTGGTACCTGCGTGCTGGTAGCCGGGCCTTCTGAGCATTTGATTGAGGACGCAAAGGACCAATCAGCTCATTACTGCAAAGATGCAAGGCGGTAGCGGAGATTCACGCACCACGCAGTTTACCTTCAACGAGAACACTGCCATGCCGGTCGAGGAGGTCAACCAGTCTTCCCCTGGTGACACGGCAGACAGTGGTGGGATACGCTCTACCCGAACTACACAGTCCGGATGGCAAGTAACGACGAACAGACGAAGGATATCCACCCAAAGTACACCAAGATCTTCTCGAAACAGTCCTCGGAGTGATGTTGTCCGCCAAGGGCATCGACCATCTCGAGGACGAACTACTCCTAGGGACAGATCCACCAGGGCCGTGACTGACCGAATTGGTGAGAGGACCGGGGATAGTCGTGTTAAGAGGAGATCAACGGATACTTCTGTGGCTAGTGAACCTATTGCCATGATAGAAGAACTACGGGCACAATGTCAATCCCTACGTAGTCAGTTGAACCAAATGGAAGCATACGCCGCATCTAGAGATCAACTGATTCATGACATTGAGATTAGATTCACCGAGTATCTTCAGGAACACAACCAGAATGTATTTGATGAAGTCAGTGCACTCAATCACAGATTGTCACGTTCCGCGAATGAGGTTGCAGAATATCAAGCAGAACTAATGGTAGCATCTCAGGAAGATGAAGGTGCAACAATACGCATCCAAGACCTTGAGCGCCGAGGTGCCCTAATGGAACATGGTGCACGACGGATCCATCAACGTGGTATGGAGATCCAGGAGGAGTACAAGGATGAAGTACATCACCTTCAAGGACTATTGGGTAATACGGAGGCAAGACTTCAACAACTTCATCAAACTAATGTCTTAACCACCGATATTGCCAATCGATTGTACAATGAAGGTCAGGAAATGCAAACTGATTTCCAGAACTCAATCATGGAATATCGTAATCGATCCGAAATGGCATCCTTCTCTAGCAATCAACTTGAAGTGATTAGCCAACAACAGTCAATTGCAGTTCATGAACTATCTGAACGGAATCAACTATTGAGTGAAGCTTTGGTTCAGTCTCGTAAACAGGCCGAGCTGTATGAAAGCAGTATTGACGAGATCACTAGAGAATCTAGGAAGAAGGTTTTCGAGGCAAATCAGGCCAAACTGGAAAGCGATCTGAAGCATCGGAATACCGAACATGATACCGTCAAGAGAATTGCATCATACAGGAACCAAGAGGCCGAAGCGATATCACACCTGAGGCTTGAATCACAGGCCAGCGTGAATTCGATCGCGAGGGCCGAGCATTATGAAGAGCTCTACACCAATGAGCAGGAGATGAACTGCGAGTTAAAGGATGAGATCAAGTTGCAGAACACGAAGTTGCGGAGATCGTTGACTCAGGGTACTACGACCGACGGTCGTGGCCCCGATGAGATGCTTGTTGAAGATCTACGCAATCAAGCCAAAATTGCTCAAATAAGGGTTCAGGATCTAGATCATGAAGTTCATGAATGTTTACAAGAAAACATGTTATTGAAAGAAAGATTGGCTGAAATTGCGGATGTAGGGACGTCGTCCCTCACCAATGCTGAGGTCCGAACTCTAAGATCTGAACTAGAGAGTGAGCGAAAGTTGAAATTGGCTAGTGGTGTTCAACAATATGAGAGATCATGCATGTTCATGGGGGAAATCCAGGATAGGGATGAAAAGATTGGCATCAAGAATTCTGAGATTGTTGACATGAAACGTCACTTAGATGAACTGAGAAAAAGTCTCAAGGATTCTGAAACATCTATGGCTAGGATCAGTCCTGACACACTTCCCTATTCGGCAGGCATTCCCAACTCCGATCTCGCATCCAGACTGGTCATCGACAAACTGGAGAATGACGTGAGTGAGGCTAACTGTGAAAACGCTATTCTGAAATCTTGGGTTTCGCAGATCGACAAGGAGTTGACTTATGAGACAAATGTGGCTCATTCCTATCGTGGGCATGCTGTACCTCCTCAACAACAACAGCATTCTCAATCAAGCAAAAGAATCGCTGATCTGCTGAAAGAGGTTGACAACAAGATCGCTGGCGGAACTGAGAGGGACTATTACAAGCCACCGAGTGGATGGGGCGGTCCGCCTGACCCTGATGGACCTCCGGACCCTTTCGGGCCTAACGGCCCAGGACCACCTCCTGAACCTCCAGGTTTGCCTTCAGTTCGAGGATCACAACGCGATTCAGCAGATGATGTCTCCACAGCGGCTTACACTGCAGAAGAAGTACCGAGAATGTCAAGACGAGAGGCTGACAAAGTCTATGTTAGCCCATGGCCAAAGCAACAGAATCTTGGGGTTTGGCAATCAGATCTCATCAAGAGTGTTGTTCTTTCGGCAAATGACGGGGATAAAGCCGCATGGGAAGCATGGCTACAGCCGGCTATTCGACCAAATCCTGACATCGAGCTATTGAATGACAGTGGGGGGCAACGGTATCAGTCCATCGACGCCAAGTTGTCAATTGCATTGTCAAACGTGATAGCCCAAGCCGGTGATGTTGCTCGTCATGTAGCGATCAAATTGAGATTGAGAACACAAAGTCATAGTCGAAGAGGAACCTATGTCATGGGACGGGAAATCTTGGCTATGATTCTGGAGCACTTCAGAACCCCAGGTCAACGAGAAACATCCTTCACCATGGAACACATCGTATCGATGAAGTATCTCGGTGACTCGAACCTAGAAGTGTTCTACGAGAAATGGATGGAGATGGTATCAAACATGATGCCGGATGATGTACCTCCTGACGATTGGCTTCGTGATGCTCTATACAAGAAGATTCGAAATTCGAGTCTTATGATGTTCGACATCAAGCAGTACGAGTCATGGATGGAAGGAGACCAAAGACGAAATTATCGCTACCTGTTGGACGTCATCGAAAGGCACATCTCCAGAATCAGAGAGGACAAGCATGTGGCCGCCAGAGAGAAGTATGCGAGAGATTTTGCAGGTGGCGGCAAACCTTCAGCTCCCGCTCCGAACCCAACTGCCGCTGCACCGGATGCAAATCCAAAAGCGAAGCCTAAAGCTACTCCCAAGGAGAAGGCAGCGCCCAAGGCGAAGGCCAAGGCCGATGCAGCTCCAGTTCTACCATCACCTCAGCCTAAACAGCATGCAAAAGGAAAAGGAAAAGGTCAAGGGAAAGGGAAGGATCGTGCAAACAGCCGAAGTACCAGCCCTAGATCCAAGAAGAAGATCCCATGCCATTTCCATTTCATCAAGAAATCATGCAGAAAAGGCAAAGATTGTGAATACAGTCATGATCAAAAGGTGTTCGAGGCGAATAAGAACGCAAAAGGGAATGGTCGGAAGCCAGGAACTCCAAGAAGTCAATCTCCGGCAAACAAGACCAAGAAGATCGATGAACCATGCTGGCATTGGGCTAAGGGCAAGTGTCGGTATGGAGACAAATGCAACAAACGCCACGATCCTCATCTATTTAACACTGCTCCCAACACCGAAGCACCAAGCTCAAAGGCTACTCCTGCACTTGTCCATGATTGGAGCGATGATGAAGAGATGTTCCATAAGGTTGCATCGAACGTGGTCAAGAAGAAGGTCAGATTTGATGAGTCTAAGACTCACGTTCAAACTTACATAAAGAAGGACTTCGTGAAGTGCAGTCGGAAATCTCAAACTGTCTCCAAAGGTCATGATAAAGTTGGAAAGCCCACTGATCAGATAAGGAAAGATGAGCAATGGTCTTATTCATGTAGATTAGCTTCGAGCCGAGGGAAAGCAATGGCTATTCTGATCGATGAGAAGGGTGAACACAGTGACATTGATGAAGTCCTGGTTATAGTCGGCCCTAGCATGGACATCCTGATCAGACTCGATGTCGAGGACGGTGAGGTGTCCAGGGAAGTTTTTGTGGAGAACTATGTTCAGCATATTGAAGGCCGATATGGTAAAAGGGGCAACACAATGTGTATCACTGTTCCTGTTGAGGAGAGAGATAAGAGATTCATATTGGATTCTGGAAGTGGTCATGATCTCATTTCATCCACGCGAATAAGTAGAATGGATCTCCCA